AGTTATACATGACTCCATGGTCTCCCAGGGGCGAGTATGTAGGCTGTGGAAATCTCTTTATGAATTGAAGCAATCACCACAAGTATGGTTTAGGAAATTCACAAAGGTGATGGTAGGCCATGGATTCACTCAGGCTCAATCAGACTACACTCTCTTCTTCCAGCATTCCTTCAACGACCAGGTAACTTTCCTTATCGTCTATGTTGACGATATTGTTCTCACAGGTAATGATCTACTAGCATTTGAATCTCTGAAAGACATTATTGCTGCTTCATTTGAAATGAAAGACTTGGGATTTCTTCAGTACTTCTTAGGCGTGGAAATTGCTCGGTAATCTTAGGGCATTTGCCTGTGTCAGTGGAAATATGTGATTGACCTTTTGACCTTTTTCCCGATTGATCCCAATGAAAAACTACTTGATATTTCCAATGTAATTTCTGTAAATAAGACTCACTACCAACGTCTTGTGATGAAACTCATCTACCTTGCCCATACATGCCATGACATTTGTCACGTAGTTAGAATAGTTAGTCAATTCATGTATGATCCCTATGAACCCCAATCCCAAACTGTCCACTAGATTCTCCACTATTTAAAAGGCACACCAAACTTAGGCTGTTTTTTTTCCATAATACCTCTCGTTCTATTACATTTTACACAAATGCAGATTGGGTTGGGTCTAGCCATGATCGACGATCTAACTTGGGGTACTGCTCATTTGTGTGGGGAAACCTAGTCACGTGGAAATGCAAGAAATAGTCCGTAATTGCTCAAAGTAGTGTGTAAGTCGAATTCTGTCCATGCCTCTAAGAATTTGTGACGCTCTCTGGTTACCTGTCATGCTCCACGAACTACATGTGACAGTCTCCGCTCCCTCTACAGTTGTTCTGTGATAACAAGACAATCATTAGCATTGCTCACAACTCGGTTCAACATGATCGCACCAAACATGTTGAGATTGACCAACACTTCATTAAGGAAAAGCTAGAGTCCGGGGAGATCTGTGTTTCGTTTGTGCCATCTAGTTGCCAGCTACCAGATATTCTTAGGGTCTGTTTGGGGCAATTGCAGCTTATAAGCTGCTGATCAGCAACTGATCTGGATAAGCTGGTTGACTGTTTGGTTTGTGCGTTTGAAAAACAGCTGATTTGCAGCCGTTTCTGGATAAATGACCATTCTGCCCCTGATTTGGATAAACTGTGTAGCTGTTTGGTATCTGCGTTTGGAAAACAACTGATTTGCTGCTATTTCTGGATAAATGACCATTTATTTTTTCCCTTCAATTTTTTAATCAGCTTGATTAATCATTACGTAATTATGAAAATGGATGAAACTAGATCCTCGTGTAAAGTTCGTGAACGATTTTGTAGAGCTCATGAGTTTGATCCAAGATAGATAGCAATGATGAAGGCACTCGTTTTCTTTTAAGATTCTCACTAAAATTGTCTAAATCACATGTGTTGAACTAATATTTTTATATTCCGCCAAAAAAAAAAAGAACCAATATAAATGATATGTATAAATTTGGCTTGATTAGCCAACATCACTTAAAAAATCAAATTTTGTAGTAGGCCTCTTAAATGATGAAACCTTAACCCAACAATGTAAACTAATAAATTTAGATGATTTATATAACAATTAGGTATTAAGGAACGAATGTTGTGGTATGCATGCAAAATTTTCACAAGTAAATTGTAACTTTTCTTTACCCAACAAAACTTGGGTGTAATCAACAAACTATAATCACCTTTCACCAATGATTCTCTTGATTTCTAGTTCTTGCCAAACAGTATAATGTTAAATAATGAAATCATAAAAATCAAACAACCCATTTATCACCACCATCACACCCACAACCATTCACTTGCACATTAAAACAAATGAGAACAAAGAACATCTCTAAAACTAATTATGCTAGAGAGAAGAATCAACTAATTGAAATTTGAGCAAATTACAATACAAAATTTGTTTTTAGCAAATTGCTAATAAACACAAGCAACACTCCTCCCTTTCACACGAAAGTGGCCAAGAAATGGATGTCATTCTGCACCCACAATCACATGCAAAAGTGGCCAAGCAATGGAAAGAAGGGACGGCATGGGATATGCAGCATGCCCGTTCATCCATTTTTCCAAAATCTAAATGTATATAACCTGAAATTTACATCAGATTTGTGTGGTATGTATGTAAACACCCATTTTTATAATTTTCTTCAAAGTAGGAGAGATTATCAGCAAAACTTTAAGGTATTGAACTCCACATGCAGAGAAGATTTGCACCAGGATGTGATACACAAGGTTGATGAGAGGAGAGAAGGGATTTACCTGGAAGGGGATAAATGCCGAAGAGAGGAGCTGCTGGCCTCCTAGGATTAACGCCGAAGAAGCAGGGAGAGGAGCTTATTGTGGACGGAAGAAGCAGCGAGAGAGATGGAAGAAGCAGCGAGAGAGCAGAGAGAGGAGCTTATTGCGAGCGGAAGAAGCAGCGAGAGAGCTGAGCTTATTGCTGATGGAAGAAGCTGCGAGAGAGCGGAAGGAAGCAGCGAGCGGCTAGGGATCGCGAGGTAGGCAAAGAGCGAGGTAATTCGCGACAGTTTATGTGAAGGGCAGCGGAAGTAATTCAAGGTTAAACGCAGCGAAGGAAACGCTAACCGCAGGGGTAATGCCGCGGGCCAGATTATGCCAAATTCGAAATCACGTTTTTTAAAAAGCTGGTCGAACGTGCGAAACAAACACTACAACGGCGTTTTCAAAAACGCCACCGTAGTTTTAAGCTGCCCCAAACGGGCCCAGAAAGAACCTTCCTTGACTGTTGTTTGACGATTTCAAATTCAAGTTAAATATGACTGACATTTATGCTTTAACTTGAGGAGTATTAGAATATTTATTAATGACTAGTTTTAGCCATTATTAATTCATGTTTATTCTATGTTATTAGCTTGGATTCTCTATTAACAAGTATTTATACCCCTCTTTGCATCAATAAGATTTACCTTGAGTTCTATTCTAACACACATTTACTCCAAGATCTTGGTTTTTCTGATATTTTATGTCAAATCATCGAGGTTCTGGTTCTTTGTCACTAGAAACATTTTGGCAAAATAAATTTTCCTCTCGATCTGAAGACTCACCGTTATGGTTATGATTGACCTCATCTGATTGTCTTTTCTCAAAGTTGGCAAGTCTCTACTGCAGTTGGAAAATTTTCTGTAGCATGCTTTCCATGGCAATTTCCTGAGCACCTTGTTGAAAGCTTTTCCTCGGTGGCATAGTGTCTCGTTCTCACAGTCGAGATTCACCCTGGCTTTGACTAGCTTTATTACCAAATGACACTATTCTAGTGTGCGTGATAAAGCGCAAAAAAGTTGTAGGATTGCTTATGTGAAGGGGGAGGTTGGAGGGTTACTAAAAATCAATGTGAATGGCGACGGGACAGCGATCTGGAAGCAGAAAAGGGGCTAAACAATTGGTGGAGGCGTTGGGATGGTTGTAGGAAGCAAATATGTGGTGGGACTGCACGTGGGGTGAATTCAACTGTTTTCCAAACTGAAAATCAGCAGCTAAACGACGATTTGGCGAGGTGCAGGGGATTGGACAGCGAGTCAGAATAGAAAATAGCAGGCTTCCTACTGCGAACAGAAGGTTTTCTGCATGTTGGACAACAATGTCGGCTTTCGAACATCCGTGAGAGATCGCCACATCAATCCTCTCTGGTTACAGACACTCCGCCCAAAAGAAATCTAAGGATACAACACTCCAATCAAAATATTCAGGAGAAAATATTTCCAAATAACATTACAATAGCCAAGATTCCTCTAAATGAGAATAAAACAACATATCAATAATCTACTAAATAAAAACCTTAATTAGAAATAAAAAACTTAAGAAATAACGAAAAAGGAAATAAAGGAATAGAAAATTAATCAAGGAAGAAAATATGGGCTGACAGAGAAATTTAGACGGCAGTATTCGGGATCCCCTCGATTGCACGTTCCGTTCCTGTGGTCGCAGAATAGATGCTCTGCATCAGGACTTCTTACCATTACCGGTGTTTACGTTAATCCCAAAAATGTTTGGTTTCGTCCTATTAATATCTCATCCTCTGTACGAAATTCTACAATGCAAACATGTATATTTCTCTTCAAAACAGTACTTCGAGATTCACTAAAATAATTTCATATTGCATTCGTTTTATCACGAATATTTTGTTTTGAAATATTAGGCTAAAATTCGGATGGTTCCATTCTATTAGAAATATTTTGGTCAAATGATCAGAAAAAAAAGTGACAATAAGCAGGAAAATGAAAGAAAACTATTGCATTTATCTCAGCATAAAAATGACATCAATTCAAAGCACTTTTACTGTGCCATAACAAGTAGTGTCTGACAACTAAAAAGTTTCACTAAGAGTGCAAAGTATTAAACTTTTCAAAATCAAAGGCGCATTTGGAATAATAAAGCTTTACTATTAATATATATCAACTTGTGGAACTTAATTTTTTTCTTACAAAGAAATCAAATATCATAGAAATATAATGCTTTCCAATTGCTAGACGAAAGTCTCAATGTTTGGGCAACCTTCTTTTGGCCGCTGTCATGTCTAAATCATGCAACATTTAGTAAGTTTTTAAAAAAATAATCTGTTATTAATTTCAACATTTTAAGTGCTTTTTTTTAACCTTTTTCTTAAAAAACATGTATGTGCTGAGGATCATTTGAAATTGAAGCATGTATAGCTCATCATTGCAATGTTGTTCATTTACTGGTGGTGTTGTGGATTTGATAATCCCTTGGCAACTGTAAATAGCTTCAAGGATTGGTTTAATCTATGAATAGTGAAATTGAGAGTATCATGGGCTTCACTTTGCTTTATTGTCTAATAAAATTTTATTTTTCTCTCTCTAATGTGCTATTCTTGTGGCTTGGCCTCATTTCATTAGTTGTGGATGGGACTTTGACCATTTGCGTTTGATTTTTCTTCTACCATTTTAACTTGGACAGGGATTTATACTGCCATTTAGTTGGTTACCAGAATAAGAAATTGCCTCATAGAACTTCTGATCTTCAATCGCCTTCTACAAGTTCATATAGAGCCCTGCAACAGCTTAAGATGAATCGTGAGCCAGCTCCCCTTTTCTTTCTCCTTGCTCTTAAAGCTTGATTTATTGAAAAATCCATGGTGACTTTCCTCTTCTTTTGATAAGTCAGGCATAGATTCAATTGCTATGGTAACTGCTGCACCGAGTGTAGTTGCTTTGAGTGCCCCTACCTTCTCACCACCGGTGCTACCTCAGAAAAGAAAGCGAGAGATTCAAAGATCCGTAACTGAATCATTTGCCCCTGATGCAGCTAAAGGTGGTTCTCTTGGTAATCACAAAGCTAAGGTAAAAATAAGTCATAGCTGTGCACCTTGTTTAAAGTTTAGTGTTCATTTACCTTCTCTGCACTATTTATCATGAATGAAGACATACAACTAAGTTTTTCATGTGATTTATGCATTTGAGCTTCCAAACCCTAACGCAGAATAAAGTTCTAGAGATAAAAGAATTCCTCCTATGAGAAGAAATGTGTGAAATCGTAAATTTGAAATCAGGGTTAATGGAAGAAAGTTAAAAGTTTCAACTTATAACTCTAGTAGAGACAGAGAGAAAGACAGAGCTATTGAGTTGAAGAAAATCAGTAAGACTCAAGATGTTGCAGTGGAGATGGAGCTTTAGATGTATCATAGCCAGCAAAGGAGTATTACTGTTGCACAGTAGCAAGGCATCAATGAAAGAAATTTGCATGCAAATTAGGGCTTTTGCGCAAATTTATGAGAGCAAGAACTCAAGCTTGATAAAAATCGACAATTCATGAGAGATGGGATGCGGTTTTTAATAATATTTAATCACACTAACATAAGATTGAATCAAACCAAGCACTTATTTAATAAAAATGATTAATTACTTTTGTGCTGGGTAGTCTCTGATTTTGACAAGAAATAACTTGAACATAATTTGAAGCATGTTGGACATGTTTTTGGATCTCTGGTCATGCCCACCACAAACATGCACTTCTTAGAGCATGTAGGGTGGAAGAGGGTATGCATGTATGTATGAATGTGTATTTGTGTGTTTGCGATCGCGTGTGTGTGTGTTTGTTTCGATAATGATGTACCGGATTATTTGAAATATTGATTGTTGATTCACTATAGATGAATATTTTAATAGTGTTTTTGTTCTCCGTGCTAAGTTTTACTAGTAATTTTTTTAACCTCATCCCTTCACAAATTCCTAGCACCAGAGCATGATACTCAGATTCTACACTGCTATTTGTCACCACAACTTTGCTTTTTTACTTCTCCAAGTAACCAGGTTACCCGATACAAATGAACAGTAATCCCATGATAGATCTTTTGTCAGTCGGTTCTACTGTTTAGTTAGCATCGTCGTAAATTTCAGTATCATGGTTTTCAGTTTTTTTGAATATTAATCCACGTATTGGAGTCATCTTTAGGTACCTCCAGATTCTAAAGATTGCCTCCAGATGATCTTCATTTGGATCGTTCATATATTGGCTCACTCCAGCTTTATGAAAATCAATGTCAGGTCTTGTATGATGAGTTTTCCCTTAAGTCTTGATACCTTCCTTTTTCAAAGAGGTGTAATCATCTTCTTTTGATGCTCGTTGATTGTGATCCGTATGAGTATCTATTGTTATGCACCCCCAACATTTCTGTATCCTTAACACAACAACAACAAGCCTTTATCCCTAAGTGGGGTCAGCTACATGAATCCTTTTTCTCCATTGCATCCTATTGTGTCATATTTTCATTTAATTTGTCATATTTTCATTTAATTCTATTAAATTAAGATAATTTTTTATACAATATGCCGAAGTCTTTTTAGGTCTACATTTGACTTTCTTAACATAAGTGAAATCTAAAACATCTACTCTCCTAACCAAATCATCTGATGGTCGACATTTAATGTGACCAAAACATCTAAGACAAATCTCTTTAATTTATCCGCCACTGGGGCCTATCACATATATATTCATTTCGCAGTTTGCCTCTAAGTGTAAAGCCACTCATCCACCTAAGCATTCTCATCTCGACAACACTTAGTTTTATGCTTCTCTTTTAAAGGCCAACATTTGCGCCATAGAGCATTGCAGGTCTCACCACCATCTTATAAAATTTTTCTTTCAGTCTAAGCAGCACTTTTCCATCACATAATAGGCCCAAAGCATTCCTCTACTTCAACCAACCAACTTGTCTCTTTTATTAAATCATGGATATATTTTCTTCGGGATACAATAACGCCTTCTTTGGATCCGACTACTTCCTTTCATAGGAGTTATCTTAAAGTCTAATATCTTTGATCTCAAACTCATAAGCTATTATTCTCTTGATTATTTCAAGTTTCCTTACGCCATTACCTATAAGAATATTGCCATCTACACACGCAGTAAGGATGGCTATCATATCTTCTTGTTTTGATTTCACAAGCAAAGTGGGATCAACCAAACATTGATTATACCTATTGATAAGAATAGGCTTGTTTAACCATTATGCTCTAGGAGATTATTTCAACTCATACAATGGTTTCTTTAGTTTGCACATTAGCTAATTATTTGTGTTCTTTAATTCTTGAAGTATCGTCATATACATTTCTTCCCTAAAATCCCCATTACGAATGTATTTTTAATGACTAACTGATGTAAAAGCTAGTTCTGATTGACAACCAAAGATAATAATACTCTTATTATGTTAAGTTTTGCCACTAGTGCAAATGTTGCTTGGTAGTCGATCTCATATGATTGAGTGAATCATTTTGCTGCAAGTCTAGTATTGAACCTTTATATGCTCCCATCTGCTTTGTATGCAACAGCAATACCCATTTGCAACCTAGAGTTCTTTTTTCAGGTGGCGGAGTTGTTATGATCCAGATACCATTTTTCTTCAAGAACAAGAATCTCTTCTTCCTCAGCTTTTTTCCAAGCAGGAATAGATAAGCTTCTTGAATTGAATTTGGGACCTGCAATAAAATATTTCTAAGAGGATAATTTTTTGTAGTTCACAAGTTCTTTTATTGGGTGTTTTGTGCATTCTTGTGCTCCTTCATTTTGTTGCTCATGATGTATTGACCAAATCTTTGTGTGAATACTTTGGGTGTGTGGAGTTGGTTCTAGTGATTTGCATTCTTGATTTTGAATGTTATCCCTTACATGCTCACTAGATTTTTTCATTTTGTTGTACACGTAGTTTTTGGTTCTTAGTGGAGCTGGTGGGGCAGTTGGTGGAGCAGTAGTTTAATTTTTAGGTTGATTTCTGATAGTGGGGATTAGAGTTAATTCATCAGGGATATAAGGAAGGTGGGCTTGAGGTTCTTGAATGGTGCCCCAACTTTGAAATTTTGTCGAATTCTGCTCTTTAATGTTAAATTTGAGGTAAATTGGTTGGTTTTCAAAGAAGATGACATCCATGGATTTGTAGAATTTTTGTGTCTCGAGGGTAGCATTTATACTCATTTTTGTTTGAAAAGTGGCCCACAAAGATGTATTTGATTGACATTGAATCAAGTTTGGTTTGATGTGGTTTATGTAAATGAACAAAAGAAACACAACAAAATATTTTTATTGTTAGGTTAGAGGTAAATGACTGAATGTGGGGGTAGAATTTTATGGGAGTACTGAGAGGTTTGTTAAAATTGAACACTCTGCTAGCATCTTATTTATGAGATGAGTGGATGTGAGGATTGCATTCCCCTAGGAGTGTTTGGGTATATTGCTAATTAATGGAATTGAACAAGAAACTTCGAGATGTATGTTCCTTTTTTCAGCCACGCCATTTTGTTGGGGTGTGCCAACACAAAACTTACATGAATAATGTCAAATTTTGATATATAAGGGCCAAATGTCGAGTTGTAGCAGTCTCTTCTATTATCGGTTTTTAAGAACTTCAATGTTGCTTTGAAATTGGTTGATTATCATGTTGTTGAAGGTTTCAAATCTGCCAGTGGTTTCAAATTTTTTTTTTCATGAGAAAGGTTTAAGTGGTTTTGGTTTGTTTTTCAGGCTTTGATACACTTGTTGAGTGTGTTTAACAAGTTGACAAGTTTCACACTGATAAAATTTAATCTTTTTCTATTGTTAAACAATTGGGGATATAATTTTTCAGAATAATAAAAGTTAGAATGCCTATGGCGAAAATACCATAACATAACTTGACTCTCATGAGAAACAGACTTAGCTACAAGACTTGACTCGGATGATTGTGAATGGTGAGATGGTTCTTTTGAAGTGAAAGTTATAGTGAACAGATAAAGTCCGTGATACATGTCATTACTGCCAAACACTTTCCCCGAGTTCACCACCTGAAATTCATATAAATTAAGTTAAAATTTTGTAACACAATTCATGTCACGAGTAGGTTTGTTGATAGACAATAAATTGCAGTTAAGTTTAGAAACATAAATATCAAAATCTTGAATAAGATCCTTAGTGAGTTTCACACTTCATCTTTCTTTCACGAATGGGAGGGAGCCATCTACGGTTCTAACTACAATCTAGTGTTTGCAAGAATGGAAATATTAGAAAACAACGATATCACCTATCATGTGATCAAATGCTTCAGAGTCCAATATACATGACTTATTGTTTTTGTTGAGAGCAACAAGAGCAGATGGAAGACTAATTTGGTGTGCTAGAAGGGTGGTAGACTGTCAATTTTTTTTTTTCCATAAGTCTTTGAAGAGTTTTAAGTTCTTCCTTGTTGAAATAACTATGTACATGAGGTTTGTTTTTTTTTTTGATTTTGTGTTTGCTTGATTTTCCATATAACCTGATTTTGTTTGGCTTTCTATGTACGTTCTTTTTATAAATTTCCCAACACTTCTTTAGATGATCAAGCTTCTTGCAATTTTCACACCACAGTTTGTTCTCCTTTGATTTGCTGTCCTGAGATGATTTGCGGGTGTATAAAGCTGAGTTGTTAACATTTGATGTGGTGGGATTACTTGTTATCATGAGTTTTTTTCTGCTCTCTTCCTTTTTACTTCAACAAAGGTTTGATTAATTGAGGAAAGTTGTTTCGTTCTCATGATTCTTCCTCTGACTTCATCTTGTTCCTTGTTTAGTCCTAGAAGAAACTTGATAGTTCTCTTTTGTTCAATAATTGTTTTGTGAGCACCTTCATGTGTATGTTTCTTATGCCGCTGATATTCATGAACACAAATTGAGACTATTGGAGGAAAGTGTTGCCATGTAATTTGTGATTGATGTGTAAGAAGAAATTTTAGATGTTGTAGACCAAACATCTTAAGTTCAGGCTTAGAAGTAACTTCCGAAGAAGAGGAATTTTTCATGCAGTTTTTTTTTGTCATTATGAAGCATGATGAAACCG